TTTTTATCGATCAGTCGACAATTAAGGATCGTTTCTAAAGCATATTCGTAATTGAATTTTCCACGAAAAAAAAGGAAGGAAAATCGAATGTAAGATTAAAATGAAGATCGAAGCGACCGACTCTGAGTCGAAGATAGTCGAGCGAGACCGAGCGATGCATAAATCGTCTCGACGGAAGGGAAGAATATCGGTAGGCTCGTGCCACAGGGCCCATTACCTGCATGGGGTCTTTTCCAGCTAAGAGGAGCCCACGACCACCTTGGTGGCAGTAGCCACCTTATAAGTCTTTGCCTAATGGTCCCGCTCGTACCTTTTTCCCTTCCAGCCTGGAATGGGGTGTGATAGCCAATTGGGTGCTAACCTTAGAAAGTCCCACTTGACTCATCCGGGACAACAAACAAACTAACCCGAGCGACACGGCAGCCGTTCCCTTTCAAAATCTGATCCAAAGTCTTTTACGCGTTGTTTTCCACCGGCTGCCGCTAGTTTTTCTCGACAGGTGCGTCTCGAAGAAGAAACAAAGTTCGCGTACTTGTCGAGCGAATTAATCATCGGACTATCGACGCATTTTTCGTCCACCGCTCTCGTTACCGAGTCGCGTCCCTTTCGTCGAAACCAATTTAAAAGGATAATCGACGTCGAACGAGCGAGCGAGCAATGACCAAAAAGTTAATAGGAATATTCAGTGTCCGTAGGCGTTTTACTAGGATAATTTATGAAGCTCGCGGAGGCTCTCGTCGAGACGAAACGTAAGCTAGACTATCGGAACTTTATTTCTTTTGTTCGCTCGTAATTCGAGGGATAGGAAAATGCACGGAGAAGCTGGAGCTTCCAAGTCGAGCGAACAGGAATTTCTCGGCACGGGTAGACGAGGTAGCTGCTTCGAGAAGCGATCGAGACACCGTGTAATTGATAGTTGCATTCGTGGAACGCGAGATATCCGAGAGGCTGTACCGTCGTTAACCAGCCTACGATCGAGCATACTCTGCCTCTCGAGCATCGCGCGTTCAACCGTACGCGAAAATTTTCCTTCGATATCGTTTTAATAGATCGCAAAAGCTCTGCTCTCGATGGACACGTGGAATAACATCTATCGTTACTTTTTTACAAGGTCAATGTCTAACGATTCGATGCTAATCGTCAATTTTTATCGATCAGTCGACAATTAAGGATCGTTTCTAAAGCATATTCGTAATTGAATTTTCCACGAAAAAAAAGGAAGGAAAATCGAATGTAAGATTAAAATGAAGATCGAAGCGACCGACTCTGAGTCGAAGATAGTCGAGCGAGACCGAGCGATGCATAAATAAAAAGGCAGGCGTGACCGCGACACGAGCGTGGACCAATCGCGATTCAGTCTGCTCTTGGCGCGTTCTTATTTTTTTTCTTCTTTATTTCATTCACTCTTTCTCCCCCTTCCTCGTACGGTGACCACGGCGATTCCCCACCATCGAGATCCCGCGGTGCTCCAGGCTCATCGCGTTGGATCGCGATCACGCGCATTGAAGTTGCAACGAGGAATGCATGCGCGTTCTCGCGAATCGCCTCCCTAACTGCGTCGCGTTTCGACGCCATCGCCGATTCCGCCAACCGTTTCAAAGCGTATGCTGAATATTTGAGAAATGGATGCAACGGTCGAAGAGCGGTTAAAAGAGCTATCGAAGAAATTCGATCGGAACCAACGAGAAGAAGATATCCGAATTATACGCGATACGTTAAGGAACAAATCGAACGTATTATACGTACTCGTCGATATCCTTGAAGAGGTTAAACAGCCTTCCATCGTTATCGTTACCTTATCGTGACGAGTTCTCGAATATCTACTCGGCGCGTGCAGCGCAACGTGCGACCGACGATGACTCGTTGGATCGTTAAATTATTTTTTTTTATTTTGTCGCGACCGCGAATGCAAATATTATCCCTTTACCGATACGAATATCGGTAGACGGGAACTAGTCGAGAAATCGTTTGTTCGTCCATCGCGCTTGATTCGCTGCGTGTACGTTAGCGAAAGAGAAGAGTAAAAAATGAAACAAGGAGAAAAAGATCGGTGTTCGGAATTTTCGACTCGACCAATCGACGAGTCAGCCGTTCGAGGACCAACCTCCGTCAGGATATTATCTACCTTCAAAATCTAATTATGAGATTTTTATAGGGCTATCGTAAAACGGCCGAATAATAGTTGGCAACTCTTCGAAAGATGGACCAGGAGTCGTGGTCGAAGATAATGAATGTAGCAGCGAGCGGGTCTACTAAAAAGAAACAGACTAGAACCTTCGATACGATGTATATGTAGTTAGACGTCCTTTCGAGGATGCGTTACCTTGCGAGTTTCGCGTTATTTCGTTGCAATGTCTGGCCAACAAAAACCAAACGAAACATATCGTACGCGAGTAATTTATCTTTTATGATTCTATACGATGCAAATTACGACTGAAATCGATTCCAATAAAATTGAAGGTTGTTTCGTTCTAATTACGAGGTTCGTCACGAGTTCGGCTCGACACCTTCGGTGGCAAGAATGTTGCATCCATTACAAGAAAGTTGGCTCTTCCGAACGCCAAATCGCGATCGCTAGTCGGTATAATTATCTTTCTCGTGCATGTATCGAACGATCGAGCAACGAAATCGAAACCGTGTTACACAATGATATTTTCAAGGAACATATCGTCGTTGTATCCCTACCTCTTCCCGTTCCATAAATACAGACAGGCGCGATAAATCGATAAAATATGTTCGAAAGACGGAATAGAATGCCTTTCGAGCAGATGAAAGCATAAAAGTGGACATTCGCGCGAACATCGACCATCTTATCGAGTAAATAATAGAGACAGAGGTATTTTGGTGGAATCGGGGAAAAGGTCGAAAACGCGAGATGGTCGAAGAGTGGCGAACGTAGCACTATCGCGACGTTGGTACCGTCGCACATGTTTTACCTGGTCCCGTGGTAACGAGAGAGAAACATGACGTCACGACATGGCGTCTGCAGGTGAAACAGCGAGGCTAACCGCGAGTAAGCGAGCGCACTCGCGACTCGATCCGATTGGCCGAAAGGTGAATCCCCGCCCTTGCGCCTCGCTCTTCTGCACACCGTTTGCCCGATCTTCGACTCCGTTAACCCCCTCCATCGGACATAACCCTCGTTCTTTCTCTCTTTCTCCTTTTCCAATATCGTTCTCTATTACCTTCGCTCGTTCATCGAGCTCCCTTTCTTTCACCGTTTCTCAACACATCTTTCTTTCCTTTGGCTCGCTTTTACGCGTACACGCGCGCGCGCGCGCGCGTGTCTCTGCGCCTTTCGTTTCGCGACGCTACAACCCTCGCGCGTGCAAATACTCGGATGCATTAGAGAGTGACCATTCACACGGGTCCAGAGCCCCGTTTACATCTCTCTCTTGGCGCAACGATACAACCGGTAACGCATCGTTCCACCTTTAATATCTTTTTCCTAGGACAAAAGATTCTTTAACCGGTTTACCGTCGACGACGTACCTTACGACGCGAATTTTTAATCGCCTTACCGCCGGAAACCTAAATTCGTGTAATAAAGAAAATAGTTGGTCGGTCGATCGACTGTACGTAATGTTCGCGATACGTTTAAATAGAATATTTCGAGGCAACGATCAAGAACGCGACGTTTTCTAAATCTGTCACCGAGCGATTCGTATCGCGATGTCATCGAGGTCACGGGAAAGATCGAACACGTCGCGAGTCGATGCGAATTTCAATGCGCTCCGATGTACGTTTTATCGCGGAAAATAAGTGACTCGACGAAAGCGAATATAGCTATCGCGATTTGTCCCCTGTTCGTGGAACAGAGATCAAAGTTTCAAGTTATCGAGCAAATAGCTAGATATTTCACAGGTTTACGAAGTGACGTGTCAAAGGCCGACCGGAAAGTCCGAGTAAACTCGAATAGAGAAACGACTACCTGTTTCCTACCATCGCATTAGTCACGATGCGACTTACGAATTTCAATGACGTCACGAGATAATATTAATTAAGGCCGACTCGTCCGTACGCCAACCTCCGACTCGACGCAACGATTACTTTCTCGTAATTATTTCCGTTAGGTCGCGGTTACTATAGTTACGGCGAAGAGATACGATCGCAATTATGTCATTGAGCGTTATACTCGTAAACGTGCAAAATTCTATTGGAAACGCATCGTCCAAGAGTAACGCGTACCAAGAACGATAACGACGAATTTGGCACGAGTTTCGTTGAAAAATATCAATCGGGATAGGAAGAGTCGTGAAATTGTTGCGACATCGATCATCGAAAAAGCGTTTCGACCGACTCCCTGTTCGACGAGCTCTCTATTTCTACGGTTTCTCGCGGGCATCATGCTCGAACGATTAGACGCGCTATTTACAAACCGTTAGATTCATCGTCGTTTCCTAGCGCGATCACGGTTATAAACAACCTAGAAACGTGACTTTTATATCAAGAATGCTGGCCACGTGAATAAAATTCGCGGCTGAGATAAATAAAAAAGAAAAAAAAACGTAGCTATTCAAACTGACACTGTTTGTAAACTATGCTTGCCCTTTTGGCACACGGTATCGTTACGCTGTATTTTCAACTATACGTGTCGCGAACACGCGATCGGTTCTTTCTTATACGCGTACCGTTTTTCGATCGCTCAAGACGATTCGCTATCGCGAAATATTTTTTGTGGTCGCGTCCGACAAACGTCGTTCGTTAGAATTTTAATGAAATAACGCGAGCTCGTTGCGAAAGCGGGTAGATATACGGGATCACGTGGTCCCAACAAAACGGAGCCATATGCCGCGGCCGTGGCACACCGATGCGGCGTATTCGAGTTCGCAGGTACAACTATTTCGCGAAACAACGCGCGTTCGTTAATTTTCTGTTCGGAGTTACGCGAGATCCATCTCGAAGAAACGTCGTCGCAAATTTGGGAAAATAGGGTAGTTTTCGTAATCGGCAAAGATTGAAAGAATAGAGAAGAATACGACACAGGTAAGTAAACTCACCAATGGACTGTCGGGCGTGTGTTGGTGATGAGCCATGGGTATATTGGCCACCGTGACCCCTCCACCAGGATTTCCCATGTCTTGGTACTCGTCGCTCATCTCCATCGCGTAGGATGGTAACGGTTCTCTGTTCTTCACCCGAATTTTGGCTGTTTTACCGCAATGCGGTCGCCCACAACACGAGAGACACCCCCGCAGCTAAACACGCTGCCAAAATACGACGCGGGGAGAGCGGAACGCACGGCTCTCGACGTATTTCACCGATCGAGTTGGATTCGCGCGACGATTCGCGTTTACTCGGGAAGAAATATCGTCGCGCGAAGAAAGGAGCTCTCGGTTAGGCGTTTTTCGCGACGCACTGGCGTCGATGGCGAATCGCGAGTGACGGATCTCCGTCGACTCCGTCGGTAAGCGTCGCGCCGTTACCGGTCACCGTAATCGCGAGCACGCGCGTACGTGTTCATGTTCCGATCCTCTGTCCAGCGAAACGCGAACCGTCGCAGTTTCGGTGATCGCACAGCACTCCAGTTTCGATTATCACCGATGTCGCGATCGCGCTGTCACCAACGTACGGGAATCACACGCGAAATGTTGATCGTCGTTCGGCAGGAGCGCGTCTCGCTGGATGACGGTCGTCTCGCGGGGGACTGGCAG